ACATCATGGATGAACCGTGAACACATTAAGTGAAAGCAGCTAGACACAAAAGGCCACATATTGTATAATTCTATTAATATAAAATATCTAGTACAGGCAAATCCATAGAGTAAGAAAGCAGATTAGTGGTTTCTAGAGGCTGGGGAAAGAAGAAACAGAAGTGACTGCTTAATGGATACAAAGTTTATCTCTGGGCTGATGAAAATGTTCTGGAGCTAGATAATGGTGATGGTTGCACAACATATGAATGTACTGAACTGTACATTTAAAAATTGTTAAAAAGGTGAATTTTATGTTTGTTTTTTTTAAAAAAAGGTTTAATTATTTATTTTCGAGAGAAAGTGCACACACGAGCTGGGTGAGGGGCAGAGGGAGAAGGAGAGAGAATCTCAAGCAGACTCGACACTAACCATGGAGCCCGATGTGGGACTCAATCCCAGGACCCTGAGATCATAACCTGAGTCGAAATCAAGAGTCAGCAACTTAATCAACTGAGCCACCCAGGTGTCCCGTGTAAAGTTTTATGCGTTTTATATTTAAAAACAATCCAAAATTACCAGACAGATTTAACGGATATACTCAGAACATTTCATCCTAAAACAACAGAATAATATTCAAATGCATATGGGGCATTCTCCAGAACTGATCACATATTAGGCCACAAAACAAGCCTCAATAAATTCAAAAAGATCAAAGTCACAGCATGCATCTTTTCTGACTACAACGCTATGAAACTATAAGTCAACCACAAGAAAATAACCTCGAAAGACCACAAATACATGGAGGTTAACATGCTACTAAACAATGAATGCATCAACCAGGAAATAAAAGAAGAAATTAAAAAGTACATGGAAACAAATGAAAATGAAAACACAATGGTTCAAAATCTTTGGGACGCAGCAAAAGTATTTCTAAGAGGGAAGTTTATAGCAATACAGGCCTACCTCAAGAAGAAAAAATCTTAAAAAAACAACCTAACCTTACACCTAAAGAAGCTAGAAAAAGAACAAACAAAACCTAAAACCAGCAAAAGGAAGGAAACAATAAAGATTAGAGCAGAAATAAATAATAGAGAAACCAAAACAAACAAACAAAAATACCAATAGAACAAATCAATGAAAACAGGAACTGGTTCACTGAGAAAAAAAAAATCAACAAAATTGATTAACCTCTAGGCAGACTTATCAAGAAAAAAAGAGAAAGGACTCAACTAAACAGAATCACCAATGAACCAATATCACAGAAATATAATTATAAGAGAATATTATGAAAAGCTATATGCCAACAAAATTAGACAACCTAGAAGAAATGGATAAATTCCTAGAAACTTATATAAACTACAAAAACTGAAACAGGAAGAAACAGAAAATTTAGACAGACTGATTACCAGCAAAGAAACTGAATCAGTAATCAAAAAACTCACAACAAACAAAGGTCCAGGGCCAGATGGCTTCACAGGTGAATTCTACCAAACATTTAAAGAAAAACTAATACCAATTCTTCTCAAATTATTTCAAAAAATGGAAAAAGAAAGAATACTTCCAAATTCATTCTATGAGGCCAGCATTACCCGATACCAAAACCAGATAAAACCACACAAACACACACACACACACACACAAAGAACTACAGGCCAATATCTCTAATGACTATAGATGCAAAAATCCTCAACAAAACATCAGCAAACCAAATCCAACAATGCATTAAAAAAACCATTCACCACCATCAAGTGGGATATACTCCTGGTTTGCAAGAGTGGTCCAATATTAGCAAATCAATCATTTTGATACACCACATTAATAAAAGAAAGGATAAGAACCATATGATCATTTTAATAGGTACAGAAAAGCATCTGTCAAAGTACAACATCCATTCATGATAAAAACCCTCAACAAGGTAGGTTTAGAGGTAATATAACATAATAAAGGCCATCTATGAAAAACCCACGCTAACATCATCCTCAATGGGGAAAAACTGAGAGCCTTTCCCCTAAGGTCAGGAACAAGACAAGGATGTCCACTCTCACCACTTTTATTCAACATAGTACTGGAAGTCCTAGCCACAGCAATCAGACAACAAAAAGAAGTAAAAGGCATCCAATTCGGTAAGAAAGAAGTAAAACTTCCACTATTTGCAGATGACATGATATGATATATAGAAAACCTGAAAGATTCCACCAAAAAAACTGCTAGAACTGATAAATGAATTCAATAAACTCCCAGGGTACAAAATCAACATTCAGAAATCTGTGGCATTTCTCTTTTTTTTCTTCTTTGTGGCATCTCTATACACCAATAATGAAGCAGCAGAAAGAGAAATTAAGAAAATAATCCCATTTACAACTGCACCAAAAATATTAAGATACCGAGGAAAAAATCAAACCAAAGAGGTGAAAGACCTGTACTCTGAAAACTAAAACACTGATGCAAGAAAGTGAAGATGACACAATGAAATGGAAAGATATTCCATGCTTATGGATTGGAAGAACAAATATTGTTAAAATATCCATACCCATTGCTTTGGGTACAAAGCAATCTACATATTTAACACAATCCCTATCAAAATATCAACAGCATTTTTCACAGAACTAGAATAAACAATCCTAAAATTTGTATAGAACTACAAAAGACCCCAAATAGCCAAAGCAATCCTGAAAAGGAAAAGCAAAGCTGGAGGCATCACAATTCTGGACTTCAAGTTACATTACAAAGCTGTAGCAATTAAAACAGTACAATACTGGCACAAAAACAGACACATAAATCAATGGAACAAATTAGAAAACCCAGAAATAAATCCACAACTATATGGTCAATTAACCTTTGGCAAAATAGGAAAGAATATCCAACGGGAAAAAGACAGTCTCTTCAACAAATGGCGTTGGGAAAACTGGACAGCAACATGCAAAAGAATGAAACTGGACCACTTTCTTACACCATACACAAAAATAAATTCAAAATGGATTGATGACCTAAATGTGAGACCTGAATCCATAAAAATCCTAGAAAAGAACACAGGCAGTAACTTCTTTGACATCAGCCATAGTAACTTCTTTCTACATATGTCTCCTGAGGCAACGGAAAGAAAAGCAAAATATACTATTGGGACTACATCAAAATAAAAAGCTCCTGCACAGTGAAGGAAATAATCAACAAAACTAAAAGACAACCTACAGGATGGGAGAAGATATTTGCAAATGACATATCTGATAAAGGGTCAGTATCCAAAATCTATACAGAATTTATACAACTACATCAGAAACTAATGATATGGTGACTAACATAATTAAAAAAATTTTTTTAAAAAGAATTTATACAACTCAACACCCAAAAAACAAATAATCCAATTAAAAATGGGCAGAAGACATGAATAGACATTTTCCCAAAGGAGACATCCAGATGGCCAAAAGACACATGAAAAGATGCTCAATATCACTCATCATCAGGGAAACACAAATCAAAACTACAATGAGATATCACCTCACACCTGCCAGAATGGCTAATATCAAAAACACAAGGAACAAGTTTTGGCAAGAATGTGGAGAAAAAGGAAACCTCTTGCACTGTTGGTGGGAATGCAAACTGGTGCAGCCACTCTGGAAAACAGGATGGAGGTTCCTCAAAAAGTTAAAAATAGAATTACCCTATGATACAGCAACCGCACTACCGGATATTTACCTGAAGAATACAAAATTTTAATTCAAAGGGATACATGCACCCCTATATTTACAGTATTATTTACAATAGCCAAGATATGGAATCAACCCAGGTGTCCATCAATTGATGAATGTATAAAGAAGATGTGTGTGTGGGGGGGTGTATAAACACATATACATATATATTGGAATATTTGCTCAGCCATGAAAAGAATGAAATCTTGCCATTTGCAATGACATGGGTAGAGCTAGAGTGTACTACACTCAGTGAAATAAGTCAGTCAGAGAAAGACAAATACCATATGATTTCACTCATATGTCAAATTCAAGAAACAAAACAAATAAGCAAAGGAAAAAAAAAGAGAGAGAGGCAAACCAAGAAACAGACTCTTGACTATACTGAACACATTAATGGTTACCAGAGGGAAGGCGGGTGGGGGGAAGGATGAAATACATGATGGGGATTAAGGAGTGCATTTGGCCTTAATGAACACCAGGTGATTAAAATAAAAACTTAAAAAAAAAAATTCACAGTTTGAGTATAAAATATTATGCCTGTTTATTAATGACATTTAACTCCTCAGAGAGTATCATAATTTGCATAAAATACCAATTTGCTTATGTTTAAAATAAATGATCACTTCATACCCTCAGGTAAAAGATTTTATCAAAAGATCAAGTTGAAGTACACACAAAAAATATCTTCCCCAGTAACAAGGCCTTTATACACCTATAGATGTTCTTTCATGTTAACTCATAACACAAAAACAAAGCTTTTCACCAAAAGGGAATGGTTAATCATTTAATAGAATATTTTAAATGTCTTTAAATGAAAACTACAAAGACTATGGAACAATAATTAAAACATTGCTAATATAATATTAATGCTATTGTTATCATAGTATTAATGCTGTTAATATCAAGATAGTATATTAACACTAATTAAAAATGATGGAGTATCACATTTTGAAAAACCCTATGATTACTACTATAAAAAATATTTATGCATATAGATAGGGTAGAGGCATTAAGGCTGACAGTTTGCTCTTTTTTTCACATTTTTGTATTATCACTTTAAATTTTTTTAAAACAAAAGTCTTTGGGGTGATTTTCCCTTATCTTTACCTTATTATTGAATAAAAACCTGAAAAGAACAGACCCATAAGGAAAAAAAAAAAAAAACCTTTATTTCACTGTCATCTTTTTAGATATATATGATTTACTATTATTAAAAAATAATAAAGTCATTGATCTCAAAACATTTCCAACAGACTGAATATTTGTCCCCATAATTTTTAGAGTATTATGTATACTATATAGTCCAAGAATCATAATTATCAAGACATACCTTTTCGTAAGGGTTGCGGCATCATTAAGATCTGGATGAGCAAAAGGGATGTAACATCATGATAAAGAATTGGAACCTCAGGCTGTTGTTCTTCATTTCCCTGCCTAAAAGAAAAATGCATAATCACTTTAGACAATATTGTATATCTTTTCTAATTCATTTTATATTTCCCATATATGTCTATGGAACAGAAATCAAACTTTCATAAACATCTGAGAAATCTCAAAAGAAAAAGGGGCCATAGTTTTTGCTTAAAAATATAATCTTCTGTATCCATTTATTCCCTTGACTCTGCCTAATATGAAAAAATTATACAGAAAATTTATTAGATCTTACTTAAGTAAACAATTGGGATACATTAACTTGAAATGAGTCTTTTTGATTTCTTAAATTACAGAAATCAAATGAAGGATTAATTGGCACTTTAGAGGATTAGTTTCACTATAAATAGAGTGGATATAGGATACTTGCTATCACAAAGTTTGCATACAGAGTAAATGTTCACATTATTAAAAAAGAACAGGTACAATTCACAAGCAAGTTATATTGAAAAGGCATGATTTTTATTTTTTGTTAAGTTGTTTCAATTTTATGACTATCATAACAATTCAAAAAATCTTCAAAATTTTCAAAGTTTCAAAAAAAAAGATAATGATAGCCAAAACAGAACTTAAAACACACTATAAAAGACAAAGTAGTAAATCTTAGGAATGTATAGTACTATGAGAAACACAGAATATATTCTAAAGCTGGGGCGCCTGGGTGGCTCAGTCGTTAAGCATCTGCCTTCAGCTCAGGTCATGGTCCCAGGGTCCCAGGGTCCTGGGATCGAGCCCTCCATCGGGCTCCCTGCTCAGCGGGAAGCCTGCTTCTCCCTCCCCCACTCCCCCTGCTTGTGTTCCCTCTCTTGCTGTGTCTCTCTCTGTCAAATAAATAAAATCTTAAAAAAAAAAATATATATATATATTCTAAAGCAGATCTCATTCTAGATCTATAAGAACTTTTAAAACCCTGTAGAAGGATACATTTTTTTAATCACAGGTTTAATTTTTATGTCAGAAAGCAAAAGCAAATCTTAAGCTTCAAGAATTGAATATATTTTGAAACTATAATTCAGACTAGATTTAGGGTGAACAAAAATTATTCAACTCTTTTATTAGGCTCCATTATTCAACAAATACTGATTACTTACTATATGTCAGGCAATGGACAGCACTGCTTTGAAGCTTTTAAGTGCCAGAGGAAGACAGCTCTTTAAATGTCTCCATTCTCTACAGATATCCCTTTATTTTACTTGTCTCCCTCTCCAAAGCTAACTTTCCATTAATGCTATGAAACCTACTATTTGTCTCTCCAGTCTCTCTTTTTTATAAGACCAAAGTTCTTTTTTAAAAAGTGGGGGAGGGGCTACCATTTGCTCATCTATTATTGAAATCCCCCCAAAAATGGTTTTCCACATGGCCAACAATGATCTCTTAATTACAAAATCTAGTGGACATTTTTCAATCCTTACCTTACTGACCTTTAACTCTGCATATGATTGAACATTTTTGTCTAGAAAATTCTCTTGGCTTTTGTGAAACACTATCCCAGGTTCCCTTCTAACTCTCTGATTACTTTAGTTTTCTTGACAAGTTCTTCCTCTGACTAACCTAGAAATGGTGCTGTTTCCCAAGGCTCCAATTCCCACTCTCTTTTAATATAAAGGACTCATTTTGAAAGACTTCCTAACCCATGACTCCAATCACCAGCTATACACTGATGACTCCCAAGTCTGTATCTTTAGCTATGACTCTCTTAGACTCTCTATCTGAATATTCACTATCTCCATATATATCTCCTGTATATCTAACAGGCAGCTCAACCTGAGCATGGCTGAAACTGAACTCATGATCATTCTACTCTATTCTACACAAACAATACCCCCCTAGCCATAACCAATCTACTCTCCCTTCTATGTTCTTAGTCTTGATGTGGCTTATTTATTATAATCTCTAGCAGGTAGCACAATGTCTGAGTTAATATAATACAATATACACACAATAAAAATATAATGAATAAATAAGGCAGGATCTTGGGGATATCCTGAACCTATCTTCTCTTACTCCATATTTAATTGTCAGTAAGTCCTAACAACTATCTTTATTCTTCTTTGTCATTCTATAGCCACTGCCTTCTCACTACTCAATCTCCCCAATTTTATGTTCTCCTAATTCATCCTCTACACTGTTAAGTACCCTGGAAAAAAGAAAAAAAGAAAAAAAGGAAACCTTTCACAGAAGCTATATCTTGTTTGCCATCATTTCCCTGATGCCTGGATTAAAACAGTTTATAAAAACCAGTGGAGTAAATTTAAAAATGAAAAATGAATGGATGGCTAGATGGACAAACAGGTGGAAAAAGAGACAAAAACTGGACAGCTAAGACTACAGAGCATACAGAGAGAGATAAAATGTACTGAGGGAAGAAACATCATAGAAAATTACAAACTTAATGAGATTAGGGCCTATAAATCCTACACGTTTTTGTATTTCTCTGGTTTTACCACAGTTCCTTTAGTGAAATGAACAAAATGACTCAAAGGAAATACGCAAAGAGGATAAAACCCATTCCCAAAGAGTAAGAGGAAAGTAACACTGAAAAATCCTTGCTGACCTATGGATAAAAAAGACAGTGGTAAGAAACAGGTCTATTAACAACTAATTAGAATAAAAATGATTTTGGGGGCACCTGGGTGGCTCAGTTGGTTAAGCGACTGCCTTCGGCTCAGGTCATGATCCTGGAGTCCCGGGATCGAGTCCCGCATTGGGCTCCCTGCTCAGCGGGGGGTCTGCTTCTCCCTCTGCCCTCTTCCCTCTCATGCTCTCTGTCTCTCATTCTCTCTCTCTCAAATAAATAAATAAAATCTTTAAAAAAAAAAATGATTTTGGGAGCGCCTGGGTGGCTCAGTTGTTAAGCGTCTGCCTTCGGCTCAGATCATGATCCCAGGGTCCTGGGATCGAGCCCCGCATCAGGCTCCTTGCTCAGCGGGAAGCCTGCTTCTCCCTCTCCCACTCCCCCTGCTTGTGTTCCCTCTCTCGCTGTGTCTCTCTCTGTCAAATAAATAAATAAAATCTTTAAAAAAAAAATTAAATAAATAAAAATAAAAATGATTTTGTATTATCAAACTACTGCATTAAATCTAATAGCTGACAAAAGACTCATACTTAGAATTCAAAGGAACTTTATGGATCCATTTAAACTAGCCAGTCTCACCCCTATGCAAAGATACATTTTAATGGACAAAACTCAGAGAGGCTTAAGAACTTCTTGCGTCATGACCTAAAGACTACAAATTACAGAGCTTTTAGGTATAGAAAATAAAAGTATTCCCAAATGAATAAATTAAATATAGTTTCTTAAAATAGGGATATTATAAGCAACTGAAAAGTTTAAAGGCCTAATTCATTTGTTATGTGTCAACAATTTTTTTGTAATGGAAGCAATCTTTCTCAAATTTAGAGGTTAATTACTTTTTGCTATTACTTATTTGTTTATTATTATTATTGCAGTAAACTTCAATTATTTAAAATCAGTCTAAATCTCCATATGCATGGAAAACTATACTTCAGATTATACCTCTATTATAATTATTCATATATACTTGTTAAAAATATAGCAATCTTTATATTTATTTTTTTATTTTTTTAAAGATTTTTTTAAATTTATTTATTTGACAGAGAGATAGCACAAGTAGGCAGAGCTGCAGGCAGAGGGAAAGGGAGAAGCAGGCTCTCTGCTGAGCAGGGAGCCCGATGCGGGGCTCAATCCCAGGACCCTGGGATCATGACCTGAGCCGAAAGCAGCCGCTTAACCGACTGAGCCACCCAGGCGCCCCGCAATCTTTATATTTAAAAAATTGAGAATGTATAATTAAGAAATGTTTCAAAACTACAATGATACAAAAAGGAATTTTATCTTTTTATTATTTTATTTTTTTATTTTTATTTTTTTAGATTTTATTTACTTATTTCAGAGACAGAGAGAGAGAGAGAGAGCATGAGCAGGGAGAGGGACAGAAGGAGAGGGAGAAGCAGACTTCCCGCTGAGCAGGGAGCCCAATGTGGGGCTCGATCCCAGAACCCTGGGATCATGACCTGAGCCAAAGGCAGACGCTTAACTGACTGAGCCACCCGCGGGCCCCCACAAAAAAAATTTTTTTTAAATGGGGAATGTCCTGGGGTCCCTGGCTGGATCAGTTGGTAAAGCATGCAACTGTTGATCTTGGGGTCATGAGTACAAGTCCCACGTTGGGCTTAATAATTACTTTAAAAAAAATGGGGAATGTTCTTAGTTGGGAAACTGTCTACTATAAAGATAACTATTTTCCCAAGATTAATTTATGAATTTAAGATAATTCTAATCAAAATCACAAGTGAAGGGAAGGGCTTAGAAAATGGTTCTGAAGATCACCTGGAAGAATAAGCCGGTGAGAACAGTAAAGAAAAATTGGGAAGTAGGGGATGGGATCAGGGGTAGAAGAAATGAGTGAAGCCTAATCTAATCAGAGACATACACGTAACATATCTCCTCAATAAGTAAACCAGAATGGTTCTTCTGTGATAGAATGTTTTTATCACAGACATAGGCTTGTAGGTCAATAGAACAAAGTGGAAAGTCCCTCATTAGGATCATAAGATACACTCATTTAGTATATAACACATGGGATGTAAAATTGCCAAAAAATTAGCTAGTTATTTGAAAATAAATTTTATATCTTCACGCATTACTACTGATGAAAATAAATTCCAATATTTTAAAAAATCATCCCATAAGAAAATTCTACAAAGAATATATGAGTAGGTATTGCAAACCCTAAGGCAGGAAACACATTGTAATAGAATGTGTAATAAAACACATTCTAAGGGTAAACAACAGAACTTGGATGGGCTAGACAGGTATTCTAAGTATAAAAGTAACCAGAAAAAATAAGAAATATAGGGCTTGATTGGTTTGGCTACATGAAATTTTCAAACCTTAACATTTCAAGAAAAGTAATATAAAATTAAAAGGCAAACATATTTTGGAAAAAAGTTTCAACACCTCTGAAAAAATAAGGTTTACT